CTCAAGAACTCCTTCTCCTTCCCATGGAGGTTCTAGATCGAGGCCGTGACAGTGCCCGTGCACGCAGCGACCCTGTCAGCGGCGGCTGCGGATCGGGGCCACATGAGGTCCAGGCTGCACTTGGGCGTCCAGTGAGTCTGTGGCGGCGCCAGCAACATCGAGCGTGGCCACAATTTCTGTGTTGTAGTCTTGTTCTACCTAATTTCAATAAGATTGGCAAATTTTGGTCATTTTAGTTCAAATTTCAGCCATTTTTTGTTTCAAATTTCAAAATTTTGTTTTCCCTTTTCATCCGGAATTTTCTGAAAATTTTGCGAAATGACGAATTTCACCTATTTCACTAAGGTCCGGTGAAAAAACAGAAAATGAAATCCAAAATGCTAATCGGCCTGGTGTTGGTTCATGAGTCTAGACAATATACTCCTTGTCACCCGCACCGACCATGTGCATTTACTGCAGTTGGGTTGCTTAATGAGTCTAGAAACACCGGTGCCCCAATCGGACGAACAAGAACCACCAAGGACAAACCCCATTGCAGCTATCCTGTAGAAGGTCGCCTCGTACTTGTCAACGGAAATTAGAATGGCTGATGATCGATACAAGCGGATGTGTCCACTGTCGAAATATCAAAAATCTCGCCGAACAGATCTCTCACCAAAAGGTTGATGCATAAGCCATGGGGGACATGGACCGCTGAGGAAGAGGAGGGCTACACAGGTGGTTGTGTGGGTGCCCTTAATTTGGTTGCAGGTGTCCTTAATAGCCACTCTAGCAGGTGTGAGTTCAGACCCATAATTTGGTTGTTTAAGTCCGACGACAACCGAGTGGCACATGTGACAACACAGGATAACACACAACCATGTCATGTCCATGGCTTGTGGAGAGAAGCCCCATTGGCAATCCTGCATGCACAAATACAAGTGCAAAAATGACTTGGTTAAGCAACTAAGGGAGAACAATGCGACTCCGAGTAGATGCTGGATGTCGATACGAGCTAGGGCAAGTCGCGCTCTGGAGTCGGTGCTAATTCCAAATCCTATGGAAACACGAAACGCCAAACAAAAATGGAAGAACTGTTGATGACAACACGCGGGTCCGTAGCATTATGTAGCGTTAAGTAGTGCCTCGTAGCAGGCGGCCTCTGATCCAATATATATACTTTGATACATATGTAATTTGTAGCCGATTGAGAAAGTTGGAAGGAAAGGATTGTCCAGAGTACCACCATCTTTCGTTGTGAGGCTTGGTGCCCTCATTGTTGGCAACTTACCTACACAGCCATCCAATATCCTTCTTATCAAGTGGCTGTATAAGTTATCTGTAGAGACGGATGCCACTTGAGCACAGATTTTTCGTAATAAGTACCTCCAGTCCAAAACTTTGTCCCAGGTGACGCTAAGACCGACTGATTCGCTCTTTTGGAAGGGACTCATGCGAGTAAAAGCAGAGGATACATGGCTAGGGAAGACGCCCCTAGCAATCCAATATCCTTCTCTCTACAGTATTGTTCAGCGAAGAGACGCTTACATTGCAACAGTACTACAGTCAAATACTCTTAATATTCAATTCAGGAGGACGCTAGTGGGACACCGTTGGGAAGCTTGGCTCCATCTTGTGAGAAGATTGATGGTGGTCCAACTCTCTCAACAGCCAGATCAGTTATGCTGGAAACTAACTAAAAATGGGGAGTTTTCTGTTAAATCTATGTATTTGGATATTATTAATGCTAGCATTATTCCTAGTTCGAAACATGTTTGAAAAATGAAAGTGCCTTTAAAAATCAAAATGTTTATGTGGTTTGTCCACGAACAGGTCATCTTAACTAAAGACAATTTGGCGAAACGCAATTGATTGGGTTATAAAAGATGTAGTTTTTGGGATAGTGATGAGTCAATCAGACACCTCTTTCTTGATTGCCCTCTGGCTAAGATTTTGTGGAGGTCGGTCCACATAGCCTTTAATATATCTCCTCCGAATTCCATCTACACTTTATTTGGGACGTGGTTAGATGGAATTGACGTAGTAACAGCGAGACATATCCGTGTAGGATTATGTGCTTAACTATGGGCAATTTGGAACTACAGAAACGATTTGGTTTTTAACATAACAACAAATATTCATTTCTTGCAGGTTATCTTCAGGGCCACTGCACTACTCATCCATATGTGGTCGCTACTCACTCCGACGGAGGTCAGGGAGCATTTGGTTACTGGATCTATCCGATGGGAGACGGTAGCTCGGGCTATATTCAACTGTTTTGGATGACGGTCATGTAATAGGATAGGTGCTTAGTTTCCTATCTGTTTATTTGCCTGCCGGTTGTGGCTGTCCGGTTTGTTGCTTTCATGCTCTGTGTTGAGCACAGCCTTTTTTGTTTGAGACTACGAGGCATTTGTTGGATTTTTTGCTTATTAATAATATGGCCGTATGCATCTTTTTAATGCAGAGGCCGGGGCAAACCCCCTTTTCAAAAAAAAAACCTACACAGCCATCCATTCATCATAGAGCAGATCGAATTACAACAGATGGTGAAACTACCTTCAGAAATAAACAGGATTACATGTACAAAGCATAATTAGCTACACATACTTCTGCTCGTATACTGAACAGCAGAACTAGTAGACGTACACATTGTAGGTATGGTACACAAGTAACGCCGGCTTGCATTATTCTGATTTTCGAGGCACGTACGGTAGCTACCGTCGCAGCGTACAGTCCAAAGCAAATCAAGGGCGGTGTTGGTATAGTAGTAATACTAAATCAATCACATCACATGATGGAGCAGGGGTCCCGCGGGCACTCCTCGATCCAGCATAGTGGAGGGAACAATGGAGGACAAGTGGGCGGCGGCCAGTTTGGCTGCCTGCTGCAGGTGCAGCCTCTGTGGTTTAACCAGTTGCATGGCGGTGGTAGCGCTGGTTTGCTGCTGCTGCAGCAGCAGCCGCCATGGTGATGTGACATGGGGGTAGGGCAGCAGAGACACTGCTGCGGAGGGCAGTTCAAGTAGCACTGCATAGGGTACGGCATCGGACACGGGCATGGCACGAACTTGCATGTTCGTTTCGGCGTCTGGGGCTCTGGCACGCATGTATTTGTTGGCCGAGGCGGTGGCCATACGTCGACGATGATGATCTCCTGAACGACCTTGCAGGCCTTGCACAAGATCTTCTGGCGGAGCTTCTCCGCGTCAAACTTGCCGCGGACGATCACCTTGTTGGCCTTGTGCTCGTACTCAATCTTCTCGATGCAGTAATCCTCTGCCACACACGCATACACACAGGTAACCACGAGTTATTAGTGCGAAAAACTGTTCAAGATAAGAGCACCATAAACAATAGATCTAGAATAGTTAATTTCCTGGGTTTCAAGATACCATTTCCTTGGTTTTACCTTGGAGGCACTTCAGGACATCGTTGATCTTCTTCTTGCAGCGGCAGCATTGCAGGTCTACCGCAATCACCAGTATACCCATCTGCAAACACGCACCCAGACGAACATGTATGTCTGACCAAAATCAATCTTTACGAAATCATCGTAAACTTCTTCTGCCGCTAGTGTCCTTCCTACTGTCCTATACGTGTCAATCGATTTCTGAAATTTCTAGCTGTAGAGCAACATACGAATGCATCCAAGATAAGAAAAAATAAATTCAATGTTGATTACCTCGGCAGTTTGTACGACTAGAAACGCAGCAAGTGAAGGAAACAGCAACCCAGTACTTGCGTGGGGGAATTTAATCAAGCTCACCCTCAACTCTGTAGTATGATGGGAGAAATGGAGGTGGATGATGCAGGCAGAGAACCATGCGTTATTTATAATGGGAATGCTAATGTCGTGTCTGCTTTGTCGGATCGCATCCCGAATATAAAGGCCACATCGTGCCAATTACTGTCAACGGGAGTTGGAATAATACCAACGGAAAACAATGAAAAAATATACAAGAAAGGGGTGGGAGGATTAATAGTATAAGACTACAGGTTGGCAGTGGCGGGGGCCCATTGGTGTCCCACCACTACTAACACTAGTGGTTAGAGCGCCACCTTGTGGCACTGCATGACAGGAAGCTGTGCACACGTTTTCATTTAAAAAAATACATAGTCCTCATCTCCATCTAAAAAAACATCTTTAAAAAAAAAATCATCACCATCATCTAAAAAATAAGTAATTTTTTTTTACCACAACAGACTACCAACGAGTGTCACTTTGCATAACCCTCTATTTAAAAAATACCAAAGGTCCTCATCTCCATCTAAAAAATAATCCATAGCTTCATATAAAAAAATTTCAAAAGATTTCACACCGCGGCCAACCAGCTTGCGCCACGTGGCATAGCTGGTTGGCCGCCCTTCATGCGTAGCTTAATAGTTTTAATGTTATCAGAGGCCGGTGCCGTTCCCGCCACTAGTAACCCCTCCGGTAGTGGCAGGCGCTGTGCACCCCCGTGCCCACTACAATGTATATTCCGAGTGCTTTGGGCAACAAGGGCCACCTAGCACGGCCGTTTGCGACTGATGGCTCCGTGACGCTGGGTACTCTTTGCCGAGAGCCAGTGGTTTGGTACTTTACATGGAGTCGTTTCCTTTTAACCTCCATTGGATAATTCAAATCATAGTAGCAGATATATTATCAAGCATTACATTGGTTTAACCTCCATTGCATAATTTGCATTAGTTCAACCACCATTTGGTTTCTTTTTATCACACGACTGCCGGTTTGTCTAACCTTATTCAGCTAGTCCGCTGCCACCGCTCAAATTATTTTCTCCATGTCACCTTCCTTTGCTGCTGCTCCTCCACGCCGTACTTCCGCCGCTTGTCCAAATTAACCGACCTGCCGCCGCTGCTGACGTGTTCGATTTGTGAAGGAAGTGCGGGGCCTGTTACTCGGCTGGCCTTCCAAACTTTCTTTGCGCTCAAATGACACCATCACATGACACACAACAGGGCCTTGTCTTTTTTGGGCCGGCCTACAATATTTGTGACACTAACTGCATTTCTATGGACTTAATGAAATCAATGTGGAAGCAGTTTCTGTGCGCTCGAATTCCAGATGTGAACGGTGGCCACATGAAATCAATGTGGAAGCAGTTTGAAAAAATTCATATATGTTGTCTTTGCCCCATGCGTTGCCCATGCGCAGCCTAAGGAGCGGAAGGCATATATGGAATCTATGTGGACGCAGCTCAACGGCATGCCGAATGCAGCCGTTCAAATCCATGGAAAATCGTACGATGTGAAAAAATCCACGGGACCTGGCACGATGTTGTGATATGCAGGGTGTGATAAAAAATTGAGTGCATTTTGCAGAAGTTTGAACTAAATGTTGTCTTTGTCCCAGGCGAAGGCCATGTGCAGCCGCAGGAGGGGCAGCACCCCCTCCCCTCGTGCCGGGTTGAGCCTTCAAATCCACACAAAATCATACGATACTAGAAATCCACAGGACCTGGCACGGTGACGTCTTATGGGCATGTAGGGTGTGGTAAAAATTTGAGCATGACCAGCTCCGACAATGGATCTAGCCACCGACAGAACGGAACGTGTCAAGTTTGTTGTCATTTTAAGCTTTTTAAAACATCCTTTATTCCTATATGATAGGGTGGTTTGAAAAAATAAAGAAACATATAGTCTACAATTTATTTCAAAAAAATAAAGAGCTTTTTCTGGGTACCGTGAAGATAGGCTCTCGAAGAAGACTCTGACCTAGATCTGATGATTGAGAGCCTTTTTGGAGTGCAGCCAACAGGCTATCGCCTACCTGCACCACTACACATGACCCTTACCGCTCGGCCCATCCCTCCCGCACCACTGGACCCCTCCACCGCCTTCTCCGTCCATCACCTGCCTCCGGACTCTCTGAAGCAGGAGGAGGAGGAGGTCGAGCAGCATGCGCCGGATGTGGTCATAGATGACGCGGAACGGGACACTACTAGGAAAAAGCCTAGCAATACCATGGGTCTATGGGCTATCAGTAGCGCGTTTTGATCCACACTACCGCTATACCTACTTAGCAGTACCACTGTCCATACCAGCGCTACTGCTAAGTGCCTTAGCAGTAGCGTTTTCCTATCCAGCGCTACTACTATATGATCACATTTGTTTCCTATGTATTTGCGATATTTTTGTATAGGTTTTATATAGTATTCTAATCCTATCATAAACATGCAATATGCTCATCATATCATACACATAATAGTCTCATCATATCATCCAATACAAATCATGTCGTCACATCATAATAACGATATAGCGATACAAGTTAACTGACATGTCTCAGCATACATAATGTAGTACTTCTTGAGGCGCCGGTTCGGATCCCTCTCTCGCACTAGTGTGGACCTAAACTAACTATTTTCCGCTTTGGCTTTGCTATCGAACTCTCTATCACTACTAGGGAAAAGCCTAGCAGTAGCGTGGGTTTTAGGTACATCAGTAGCATGGGTGCCCCGCGCTACTGATACGGCGCTACAGCTAACTGGTAGTAGTAGCGCGGGTGCCACCCGCACTACTACTACGTCTGTTAGTAGTAGCGTGGATACCACCCGTGCTACTACTAACTAGTAGTAGCATGGGTTTGTACCCTCGCTACTGCTAACTAATTAGTAATTAAAAAAATAAATTCCAGCCATGGCTGCTGCTGCTAGCTAGGCGTTATCGTCATCTTCATCCATGGTCGATGCTGATCCTAGAGGGGATGAAGTCGTCCATGGTGATACACCTCTCCTTTTCTTCTTCTACAAAAATGAAACAAGGATTAGAAGAGGAAGAGAGAGCTAGAGAGGAGTAGGTGCATCAACTCATCGATGGTCACCGGAGTTGGAGCCAAAACCCTAGATCACACCATGGATGGCGCTCTGCTCGATCTGGAAGAGAGAGAGAGAGAGAGAGAGAGAGAGAGAGAGAGAGAGTAGGAAGAACAACTCACCTGTGGTTGTGTCCATGGCGGATCTGGCCGCCGCCATGGATGGCGCTCTGCTGGATCTCCCTCTCCTTCCAACATCAGAGAAGGAGGAGGAAGGAGGGGAGGGGGCTGCGGTGGGTGTGGAGGTCGCCAGATTTGGGGGAGGCATGAGGTCCGAGGCCGGCGTTGGTGGTGGATGAGGAAGGGAATCGCGGGTGGGAGGGAGAAGCGGAATGGGAGAGCCTATGGAGAGAGGGGGAAGAGTGAGGGAGAGAGGAGGGATTCGGCCGAGGATATGGAGACTTCACCTACCTTGTACTTAGTAGTAGCGGGGGGTATAAACCCGCGCTACTACTATCAACTTAGTAGAAGCGCGGGTTCATACCCCTCGCTACTACTATGGCATGTCCCGGGGGGCACGGTAGAGACTGCTTAGTAGTAGCGAGGGTTAAAAACCGGCGCTACTACTATCAACTTATTAGCAGCGAGGGGTAAAAAAACGCGCTACTAGTAAGTTGCCACAGCGAGGGGTATAAACCCGCGCTACTAGTAAGCGCCCGTCTATAAGCTTTTCCCTAGTAGTGTATGGATGTCGCTCGGAAACCGGTACACCTGGGCCTGACACTCCGGCCACTCATCGTATACTCCTGGCATAGCACTTATTCGTCATCGAAGATCTATGTACCTGCATCGTCACATGAGTCCCCAAAATTCATCGTACCCAAAATTCTCTAACTAAAGTGATCTTCGCTAGTTGAGGAGGATGGTTTAATTACATCACAAATAAAGTTTCTACATGCATAACTCAAAGTTTCGTCATAAAGAAAGTATGGACTAAATGGACATATTGTCATATATCGTCAATAATTGACATATTGTCGTGCCATCCATCCAAATCAGGGAGATAGTCCCCGAGCGCAGTGAAAGGCTTCAGGTCGAGATGCTGAGTGGCTACATGTGTTCGGATGTCTTCCCGAGACATTTGCCCTTCTTCGTAGAACAGCCCTATTTTTTCGAGGACCTCCGTCTTGATGATTTGGGCAAGTTCACGCTGGATGTGATAGAACTCAGCTCGGAGTCGATGATCTGGGACATGTCCTAGTTTCTTTGCCCATTGCAGAATATTGGCATCGCCAGATCTAGGTGATATGCGAAGGTTCTGGCGATCTCCTCTGTACTCCAGCATGTAGTGGACGACATAGAATCCATCACTGAGAGTAGGTTGCTAGATGAAGGAGAAGTCGGTCTTATGGCCGAAGGAGGGCGCACGGTACCTTGTCTTCTTGAACGTGAGATCTCTCCACCCCGTAGGTCGTAGCTTAAGATAGCACTGTCGAGAACAGACTTGATGTGAGTGTAATCCTTTTTCTTCATGTTCTTCGCCGAGTCCAAGTAAAGAGCATGGGAGAATGGGGGTAAAGGATGATGAGGATGGCGTGCCCGTCGCTGCGAAAAATAAGTACACCTAAAATTAGCCTCAATGCGTGAAAATGAATGATTGATGTCTACAACACAACTTTATTCTTGTAGACTCTTGTTGGGCCTCCAAGCATAGAGTTTTGTAGGACAGTAGCA